GCAATCCGAGACTTGTACAAGTCAATATTGTGGAAATACTACGGCATAAAATTGCGCATACCTTATTTTGAAGAGACGTTGCTCAAGTAAATATATGCAAGAAATATGAATGTGCGTTGTGTATTTTGATAGCTTCAGCTTCAAAACGTAAAAAAAAAATAAGGTAAAAAATTAATTTTCTACGCTTTTATCCATATCTACTTTACAGCACGATCTGGACACCAAAATCAAATTATTGTACAATAACACAAACATGAGCAAAATATCAAAATAATTTTTATTTTAGCGCAATAACAATGCAATTTAGTACAAACGACACCATACGTCACACAAACGTCCGTCGCAAGCCCTATATTGCGCAATGTTTTTGTGTGGTTTAGGGGTCCTATAATAGTGGCGTGTGCAGGCAAAGTCCGGGTTGTGTTTCTTTTATCATAGTTACCAAATCAACTTATAAATATATATATATAAATTGTGAAACTTTAAATGACAAGAAACAAAATATTTGCCTTTAGACTAGTAATACTATTCATAGTTTTCAAAAATTCATTTCTGCCAGCCGAAAGTATCAAAATACGGCATATGGGAACAAAACAGTATCAGATATTACAATTTAGCAAAAAAGTATTAAAAAATATACAATTGTATCAAAACGGCAACGCCGATCGTGATGGAAAACGAAGTTAGTTAACATCTTGTCGTCATGGCGACGATGGAATTAACAGCGTCAGCAGAGTGAAAATACTGCTAAAGTAACAGAGCAGCGCCGCTTGTGATTCTTGCTTGCCTCAACGCTCGTGCCCTAAATTCAAATTGGTTCGATAGCCGACATATGTAGGGCTGCCAGACGTCCCGGTTTTCCCGGACATGTCCCGGTTTTAGACAATTTGTCCCGGTGTCCCGGTCCAACCTTAAAATGTCCCGGGTTTCGTTTAAGTGTCCCGGTTTTCGATTTGATTGCACAAATTTTGCATAAAAATGACTACACTGAGAGATAAAACGCCTTGTAATATTAAGAAAAATTTTATGAATTCACTGAGGGAAATAACACATAGTAAACATGAATATTTCTATTGGATTATCGTTTAAAAATGTTCGTATTTAAAAATAATACTTTCATAACACGCCCGCGTGGCGTGGATTTAAACTCAACATATAAATGCACATTTACATGTCTGGCTGTAGATGAGTGCGCGAAGATGCTTGCGACAATTATTACTGAATACTAAAATTTGTATACTTAAATGTATTACGAGTTGGGTTGGTGCTAGGGCTGCCAGATATCTCTGTTGCCAAACCGGGACGCTTTAGGGAGGGCCTCTCGCTACCTTCACTTTCATTTCAACGTGCGAAAGGATGCACTGAAATTTTTTTTTTTACAGACAAAAATATAAACATAAAAACATGAGATCATGAGATCATTACAACGTACGCCAACAAAACAAAACAACTTATCACAACTAAAGCACAGAGAATTTTTCACAATGCATGAACCTATTCTTTATAAAAATATTTTTTATATTTTATTCTTTATAAAAATACAGTTTATACTAAATATATGAAAAAACATAAAAATAAAATTGTTAATCTTTGTGCTAATCTGGGGAAAATTCAATAAATTTGCATACAAATTTGCAACATTCTAATCAGACTTTTTATAAAAATTTGTAAAATGAAGTTTTGCAGCCCATTAAATTTTAGTTGATTTTTGATTCTTTTTACTGAGAGTTTCTTCTATACAAACTATGTTCGATAATTCTTTTTATATGGAAGACACTGTCAGCAAAAAACAATAAATGCTAAAAATCAACTAAATTTGCCGGCAACTTCAGACTTGCACTTTATTAATTGGCTCAAAAGCTACATTTTCAAAATTTTTCTAAAAGATCTGATTAGAAATTGTGATCTGATGAAAGAGCCTCCGAGCCAATAACTTTGTACGGCACTGTACTTATAAGTACTCCAGGTTTCATGAAAGAAAAAAATTTAAGTACAAGATAACTTTAAAATATCAGTCATATTTTTCGTTGCTGTGCACTTGTTTCTTAACTTCTGTCTTTTCTTTAATATAATTGTAAAACTCTGTGCACGTCATTTTGAACGTATTTAGGTATATACTAATCATCAACTATTGCTTGTGCAAAGTTCAACTATCTCGAAATGTGACTATTTCACAAATTAAAGGCCTGCTCTAACAGGCGCGGTGCGGTGCAGCGCGGTATAATCCCGTACGATACGCGGTAACGATATACGCAAAGGCACTCAAACAGACACGGTGCGGTATAGTGCGGTTTAGCAAGAAACATTGTTGCCATGTGACGAGCTCAAATTAACGGAACTCTACGCATTCCTCTTTCTAAATTTATACATATATTATAAATCTGATTTTACCGATGGACAGCTCAAGTTCTGAGGACGAATTATTGCTATTAGCAGCACTTCTCGATGAAGAAAACAGAAGGTATGAATATGTCTATATCTTTGTTTTATCCTGCAAAGTTCTTAATTTATGTATATGTTTAAGAAAAAGAAGATGGATTCACGAAATAAATTTGAGAAGAAAAGAAAATGGTGCATTTTCCAGCCTGAAGCCCCAACTACGTAACCACAAAGCAAGATTTGATAAATATTTTTATATTTACGCTCCATTTTGTACGTTTTGCGAAAGAATTACCAGCAAATTTCGTTGATTTTTAGCATTTTTTTGTTTTTGCTGACAGTGTCTTCCATATAAAAAGAATTATCGAACATAGTTTGTATAGAAGAAACTCTCAGTAAAAAGAATACCGAAAATCAACTAAAATTTAATGGGCTGCAAAACTTCATTTTAAAAATTTTTATAAAAAGTCTGATTAGAATGTTGCAAATTTATTGAATTTCCCCGAGATTAGCACAAAGTTTAATAATTTTATTTTTATGTTTTTTCATATTTTTAGTATAAACTGTATTTTTATAAAGAATAAAAAAAGGTTCATGCATTGTGAAAAATCTGTCCTTTGGTCGTGATAAGTGGTTTTGTTTCGTTGGCGTACGTTGTAATGATCTCACGATCTCATGTTTTTATGTTTTTATTTTTGTCTGTAAAAATAAAATTTTGCTACATATTTTCGCACGTTGAAATGCAAGAGAAGGGAGCGAGAGGCCCTCCCTAAAGTGTCCCGGTTTGGCAACAGAGATATCTGGCAGCCCTAGACAAACGTCTTCTGTATACTTTTTATTCTGTGATAGAACATTTAAGGGCAACTTTACCTTGCTGTGCATTGGCGCATCGCTCTGCAGCCTTAGTGTATTTTTAGGCGCAGTGCTACAAAAAGCAATTCATGCACAACGTTGCAAATTCGCAGAGTCCACTTGATGATTTGTTTTTTTTTCGTCGTTTTTCGTCATAATTTGTTTGACGATGCATTTCGAACGTTATTTTTGAGTTGGAAAAAAATTTTATGATGCATTTCCGAACGTTTTTTTACAGTTAGCTTTTAATCAGGTTTAAACAAATTAATGTATGGAATTAACAATAACAATCGCGCTGTCACGTTTAAATAGCGGCAAATCGGCTGCACTTTATAGTATCTAGTAGATTGAATAACGAAATGAATTGGCAACAAGAGTGTATGGCGTGTGCATAGCTCAATGGTTAGTGCTTCTGACTTTGCACATCGATGATGCGGGTTCGATCCCTGCCTATAAAAGAAGTCAGATGAGGAGATGTGGTGATCTCCGAAATAGCAGCTTTAACTTCTACCACTTAGTCTTTGTGGTTTTTTCCATTTTTCCTAATAAACATAATCGTGGTACAAAGCTCAATAACAATATTAAAAGAAATTAACAATTTTCCGCTGCAATACACATGCTAAGCCCTTCGAAATTTTCTGCTGGGCTATGCGTTACAGCTTCGCAAATTTTACTTCTACAGAAACCAAAGATGTATACACATCAATAAAATAAGTTTATTTGATATAGATATTTATTTAATGCTAGTAGAAATAAATTTACGCAAGTTTATTTAACAAATCGTAGAGAAAAGCGTAGAGGGTCGGATTTAAACTTGTAGATGCAGGCGTTAATGCGACAATATAGCCGAAAATCTCGCATCAATCATTGTATTTGCTTATGGTTGGTAAGAATGAAATTATTTTATAATTATTTTGCTTCTCACGTTTGCTTTAAAAATGCTTGAAAGTACGCGCATTATCGATACTTTTTTGGAAATATGGGTACTAGCATCGATTTTCCTTTAGAGGATTCTAGGAGTACTAATATCGTTACTTTTTTTCTCAAAAGTTCTATCACTACTTATCTGTACAAACGTTTGTGCTTATGCGCCAAGTTTGCTATTATCAATACACAAATAATCAATATTATCGGACGCAAATTGTTTTCATGTGCCACTTCGGAAGATTTACATACATATGTACATACATACTTTTTATTACAAATACTGCCTCGTATTCGAATTATAACCTTAAGTTTAGCAGTCACTACCCTGCAGGAAATTGAATTAGTTTGAAAGTAATTTATAAACAACTTTTTTTTCAATGATAACTAATTGAAATTCTCACTATTTTACCTACAACGAACTTATTTATTTAACATGGCGATGTCCTAGGAAGCAGTCAATTGCCTTTTACTGCATGTATTTTGAACTATTTTAAAATGAATTTGGTCTACACAACTTCAAAGTCAGTATGTTTCTTTTGAATACGCTTGCGTTCTGGACTTCACAGATGCTTTTTCATACTTCCAAGACACAAATTGTTTTTTTGAGCAAAAAGAGTATAAAGATTCGAAACATTTACTCATTGCATTTGTTTTAAAGTAGTCTTTCAATTATAAAAAAAAAATCACTTGTGTCCATCAGGGTAGTTCCATAGAGAATTTTGTTACTCCATACACATATGTATGTATATATGTAGTATATGTATGTATGGATGTAAGTACACATGTTTGTTTGAAATTGCTTATGTGCTGTTGACTGAATAGATAATAACTAATATACATACGTATGTATGTAAAACAATAAATGAATCACTACGCGAGTCTGGCCGAATTCGGCTAGCCACAAAGGAACCTGTTAGCGCTGTTCAGCCGCACCTAGCTTTATACCGAACTGTCACGGTATGGCAATGGACACCGCGAAACGAGATCGTTCAAATCCAAGTTGATCACGCCTGTGAAGGGTATAGCGCTTTTTACTGCACGCCACTTTGCTGCTGATAAGATCGACGTCCACTCACGGCTGGAGTAAGCTCCTAACTGACTTCATCACCGGTAGAGTGTGATCATTTATAAACTAAAAATATGGTAAGTCGTAATGAGATTCTTATCTCGTATAGCGTTCAAACGTTATCGCTGAGCACACCTGCCAAATTATTTATACTCATAGACGCTTTTTCGTTATTTCGATTTGATGCGAAATATATACGAACGCGCTGATAATAGCATCAGTCTAAACAGTAAAATGTTTGGGCATCAATTTGGCTAAGAATTGTAAACACATATTTGTGGTGTACTAGTACTAAGTGACACTGCACTTGGAAAAGTGCACTAAAATTTTCATTAAAATACAGTAATACTTGGTGACGTGCAATAGTAGGCGAGTACTCGTATTCTCCAGACAAATTATTCAGTAGAAAAAATTCAGCAGCATTCGCTCTCAAAGACACAAAATATCCACAGAAGTACCAGAACCTTAGTTGCCAACTTGGTGCTTTAAGCACTAGATTTAGTGCTTTTTGAAAATTAAAACGCAAAAAAAAAATTACTTAGTGCCTAGTGCCTCTTTTAGTGCTTTTTTTTAACTAATATTACTCGGAGATAGTTAAAACCTGAAATAATTTGAAATATTATAAGCTGCGGTGTCTCATGAAGATGCGGAATTTACAAGAATATACAAATTTAAATGCACTAAAATACAACCATGATTGATAAAAAGCTAAAGTTGCAAACCCACCTTGTTGAATTCAAGTCGCGTTGAAAATGGTAGTACGCAGGTGAGTTAAGTATTTCTTTTATTTTTTTTTACCACCTGAGTAAATCCAAATCTGCCCGCACAATTGCTCTAGTACTAGAATTTTTAGATATCCTTCCCCCAGATTGCCAACAACACGAGTTTTAGCGATATTTGAGGTTATATAATGAAAATATCAAATTTTTTTGCTCATTTCTACTTAGGGCATCATTTTCGTGTGTTGCGATTCGATTTTTTTCTCGAGGTATAGTAGTTTTAATAGTACTTCGGTATTACGTCGTAAGCATGAGTTATTATAGCATGTGTAGAGGCTATACAATCGTTATGAGCGAAAACGTTATGTGTATTGATTTATGTATGTATTCTTGTAAATATTGTTAATTTTTTGCTTTTGTTAAATACAAACTGTTATGAAAAAACATCCTTTGATTAAAAAAAATTTGGTGCTTTTAGATTGGTAAAACGCCTTTTTTCCAAGTTTTTGGTGCTTTTTGAAAATCAAAAGTTGGCAACACTGACCAGAATGCCAAATTTGCAAAAACTTGCAACCTTCAAAACAGCTGATCACTTCCATAGTTGCCACAGGAGTTCATTGAACAATTTGTTTTCTGCTTGGTACATTTGGCAGTTTTTTACAATTGAATACTTTTGGATAAATACCTTTTTAATATATAAACTAATTATGTATATCGAAATGAACAATTTATTTTTCTCAAAATTATTTGTGATATCACACAATGACGCATTCAAAAATAAGAGAATCTCCTCCCAAACACCCACCCTTGATCAAAAAAAAATTTAATAGATATAGCTGCAAATGTTTAGGTACAAAGGTCTTTAAAATTATAAAATTTTCATTTTAACAATCAACCTACCAAAACTGACAAATTCAGTCAAAAACATTTCAGCCTGCTGCATTTTGACCTATTTTGGTATATTTAAAGGAAAATTATGGTACAAACCTATTAAACACACACTAAAGTAAAGAAACTGGAGATTAATAGCAAATTAACTAAAAATAAACTCAACGATCGCTGTGCATAATAGATTTACTCTATTTTTTGTTGTATACTAGCATTAATAATAAAATTTGCAATAAATAATTCAAAAAGACCATATTTTCTTTTGTTTATTCATGAACATATGTTTGTGATAAGCTGATTTTCTTACTTGCGGGCTTTCTCAGTAAAAAATTTTCCCGCATAAATTTGCAGATCTCTACCACACTTTGCTCTCTCAATGTCCCCTACTTTTCAAGTTTTTGGGTACAGAACGCAAATCAGTGAAGGTTTTCTGAAGATTTTAATAGTTTTGGGTACGAGTACACCCCTAATATCAATGTAATTAATGTTAATGACATTAATACTACAGCGCAAAAGTGAAATAATGTCAATTGACATTAAGTCATTTTCGAAATATTTAATGTTATAAAAATAACTTTTGTTATTTAGACATAATTCACAAAATGAAAGATGTTTATGCCACCGAAAATATTACTAACCATCCAAACGGCGCGGCGCCACCTGTGGTTGCCCGCCGTGGTGTTATACACTTTTAAAGCTGTATACTGTGTTCATATGTAGAATGTTTACGGTGTCCGTCCTGTTTTTAACAGGACCTAAATGTTATTCAAAGGTCTGTCCTGCGTAGCTTTTCAAAACAGAAAAACCTCAAAATGTACTAATTTTTTCAAGTATCCTGCCTCTGTCCCGCATTTTATTCGATATTTTAAAATAAACGGCGAGAGCCCTTCACTTATCAACTAACAAACTGATGACTACATGAGGATGAGGCTAATTTTGAAGCTTCTACAAGTCAATGCGTTCTAAATTTTGTGCGGCCATAGACAATGGACAGCAATAAAATGGAGACCAGCATCACAAGTATCACTAACACTGCTCTACAAATTTTCTACTAATCGCGTCAACCTATATTTTTTTAAGCATATTTTGGTTCGATGAACACGTAAAGAGTACAAAATTTTCTTTTCAAAGACATTTCGAGATTTATTCTAAAACGGAGCTATTCATCAATATCTCATGAAAAGATCTCCCAATAAACGTAAGCGATCTACAGTTCGAAAGGTATTGAAGTGCCTGTTACAAAAATATATAACTTGTGGCGTAGGCAAGAAAAAATCATTACAAATCAACTCAAGTTTTTAGACACTTAAAACTTGCACTGGTTTTACTAAAACTACATAACCGATCTACCTGCAAACTCAGAATTTTTCTAAAATTTCAGATCAAAAAGTACAAAATTTAGACGAAAATTTTTGGAATTTTTGTAAATTCTGTATAAGGTTTGACTTATGTAGTTTTGGGTTAAATAATGAACCATATTTTTATAAAACAAAAATAAAAAAAATTTTACTTGAAAAACTCTCTTTTCATGGTTGATTGTGAAAGAAAATGTCAACATTATTTTTGCATATTTGTCGGTGGATAATGGCTACAGCTGATGACGTAAATGCACGCAAAAACTTTGTAAATTTTTCACGTGACAATGATTTTGAAAATCAAAACAACATTCAAAAAAAAGAAAGTTTGAAGAAAAAGTAGTAAAAAGAATAAAAGAAATAAGTGAAGTGGTTTAAATCACATAGCGGCTGAATTTTTTAAAAATACCTCTAAGTTAAGTATTTATTTGAAAAAAAACTCATAAAATTTAATAAAATGAGCCTACTGCGCCATCTACTGCAAAGCTAATAATAAACAAACTTCAAAAATGGATTCCTCGTACCAAAAAACCCTTATATAAGTATTTTCTAAAAATATTTTTCAAGAGCTTAGCCTAATTGGCTACGCGAGTATAGCCCAGCGCGTCACATCAGTATTTGAATTACGTTTTCGAATTGTACCTATGAATTGTATTGAATTGAATTGTATTTTAATGAATTTCACCTTTTTTGAATTTAAAATGTATATACATTATACATATATAAACATGGTATGCGTGAATACCACCAGTTATGTTGTAAGGCGTTGGCAACGCGTTGCGCGTACATCACAAAAAGCTGACAGGTGTGCAACTTTGTTGCTTTTTGAATTGACAATCATTGTTATTATTTTTTTCACGTCGAAATGTGCGGTTGCCTTTGCCTCGAAAATTGGAATTTTTTTCTATATATCTATATCGCTATATATTTCGCTAACGTTTACAAGCATTTTATAAAATAGAATTTGTGCACCATTTTTGTAAATAAACGCTCGGTCCTGCGCGACGAAACACTTAGCAGAATCCCGTCGTATTTTCATTCGCAAAGTTGGTGTTTTACATAAGGGCCGCCTCGTGTATTCCGCGTGCCCCCAGCAAACGGATATCGATCGCCGTACATCTGGAGCCTCTGTCCAACCGACCCCGTAGCAACCGCCTTATCGCCAGCAAGCCACCCACATCGCCAGCAGTCACTTCACCGTCCGAAGCCACTTCATCGCCGGCAACTAGCTCCCATCCAGCGCACCACCGCCGCCAGCAGTTATACCGCCAGCCACTCCGCGCTCAGCTCTACTCGCTAGCGTCCATCGCAAGCAATTTAACAGAGCCCTAACGAAAGCCATCATCCAGCCGCTGCATATTGTCATCCAGCATCCCAGGATCCCCAGGGCTCAAACACTGGTCCTTCGTCGCCTAAAAGAGCCAGCACCGCGGGAATACACAACGACTAAAGAAAAAGTATGCCTAAGAAATCGTACGTAAGAATCTGAATTGCTTAAAAACCCCATTTAATCATACAAAAAGTGATAACCAAAATCGCACATACATACATAATTTTTTTTTTTCTTCAAAGACAAATTGCATAAATTTTATAAAAACGGTGCTTTCATCCCGTTACAAAAATTTTCTGTACATATATATGTACATTTCTTTTTCTCGATTTCCCGCCAAAAAATTCAACGGTTCGCGATTAGCCGGTATATAATATCTATATGAAACTTACATATGTACATACACAGCTCTCGTAGTTACTCATTCCTTTCTTCTCCTTCTCAACAGTAAAATAATAACTAACTACTGTGTATATGCACATACATATATATGTGCACAGTGCATATTTATGCGAATGCCCGCTTAAAAAATTTTGAGAAATCTGCTTCACGCAATATTTTATATAAAGTACAATTAAAGAATTACTGGGCAAGTTTCCCCGGGAGTACATTATTAAAATACATATATACTAACCCAATCTCAAGTCCTAGTACATGAACCAACTAACAAGATCACCCAGCACGGCAATCGTGTATTTGTAATCGCATTTGAGAAAAAAAATAATGTTTGATGACGTCATTTTTTAATCGGTTCTTTCATTCCGTTTTATTCACATGGTCGGCGAAAAAATGACGTCACTGCAAAAAAATAACTTTTTTCTCGCACGCCGTGCTGGGTGATCTTTATTCGTTCGTTATATAAGAAAACAATTTTGCGATTAGATTTTTGGACATTTTTTCGATTTTTCTTCTATAGATTCCGTTTTTGTTACATATTTTATTAAAAAAAATTAATTTGTAAGCTGCACGCAACAATTTAAATTCATTAAATTTGAAAACTCACAACGCCTCCACCGCGATTTGAACTCGCGACCAACAATGGTGGGGTCAGAGGTCTTCTCGCTGAGCTACTTTCGTATTGTACGAGTAGTGTGCATTTGCACATATACACCGCAAGTTTCAACTGTCCCGCTCTGCATTCCTTATGCACTAGTTCA